GGAGAGAGAGAGAGGGAGGGAGGGAGGGAGGGAGGGAGGGAGAGAGAGAGAAGAAAGAAGAAAGAAACAAAATACACTGTCACAACTCTGGTTCTTTCATCTTGCCACAGGTGGGTTTTCTAGAAGCTGAGGTCACTTAGCAGGCTCCTGTGTACATATGCCTTCTTCAGAGAACTTAGTTCACAGTTTACCATGCCTTGTATATTTTTGTGGGGGTCAGATTTTACATTATAAAACAGAACACGGTTAATGGTTTTTGTCGAACAACTGTGTGATTTTTACTTTCTTATCACAGTTACATAATATAATCTTTCAAAGGTTGTTAGAATGTAAGATTCAAAGGATGAATTTGTCTGACTTTGTGGTTTCTCTAGCTATGGATTTCTCCACAGATAGTTGAGGTCAGTGTCATCATTAACTTGAAGCTATTTCATTTCCAGGATGAATCTGAATTTAGAGACAAACTCACTCCCATCACTATTTTCATGGAGTATCGGTTGGATTACAGAACAGCTGCTGATGCAACAGGCTTGCAACCCATTCTTAACCAGTTCACCCCTGCCAACATCAGCCGACAGGTACTGCACTTCCCAATTAGACTGATTTCTTGCTATGTCTTTTTTTTTTTTTTTTCCCTTGGCCTTTCAGCTTTTTGAGACAAGGTTTCCCTGTAGCCCCAGCTGGCCTGGATGGAACTTGCTATGTAGAACAGGCTGGCCTCTAACTCACAGAGATCTGCCTGCTTCTGCCTCCCAAGTGCTGGAATTAAAGGTATATGCCATCATGCCCGGATGACATTTGATCTTTGAAGGTTTTACAGTCTGTGTTTCTCTTTTTATTATTTTTTTTTCTTTTTGGTTTAGAACTCACAGAGCTCTGCCTGCCTCTGCCTTCAGAGTGCTCTGATTAAAGGCATGCACTACCACACCTGGCTGTGTCCCTGTTCTTAAATATTATAAGGGATTATTTTTATAATGTTGTTAGACGTTTAAAGAAATCAGAGGGGAAATAATCTGAATATTTAGATGTGAGAACTTTAATCATTAGGAAGTTAGTCATTTCCAGAGAAAGACAGGATCACATTTTATATACATAAAATAGTAAATCAACTCAAGAAAAACAAAGTATGAGCTTATTTACATATCATTTTAGTATTTACTAAATATCCTAATGCCTCTTTTATATCTAGTGAACATTTTGATTGTTTTAAGAAAGTATATATGCACTTATGTGTATATACTATATATGTAATTTTTTCATAAAACAACACAAATTTCCTTTATTTTGTTTATGTGCTCATATGGTTAGATGAATATTCTTCTCTCATAGAATTCTTTAACTTAAATCTAGGTTGTCATTTCTTCTTTGTCTTCCTTATGATGAACTTCCCTATCATACTTTGAGAATAGTATGTATAACAGCAATACAAGGCAAATTAAAAAATTTTTAAAGGTTTTTGTAATTTGTACATTTTCACAATTGTTAAATTTCATTTTGTGTATTAGTAATCATAGTATATGTGCCATTTTCTATTGTCTACCAGTTAAGGACATGTGAACATAGTTCTGCATTCATAATTGTTATTTTGACTGGGTGCACATTGTATTGATGGCTAATTTTATATCTGTACTTTTTAGTACCTGTCATATAATACTTTCTTTAAAAATAACTTTTTTGTACCTTTATGTGTTTTTATATATGAGCTATAATTATTATTTCTTTATAGTTTTAAAATTTTTTTAGAAATCTTTTATCACTGTTGCTATTATTATTTATTCATTTTTAAATTTTTATTGTTTGTGTATGAGTGTATTGCCTGCATGTATGTGAGTGTACCCCATATCGTGCAATACCCATAGAGCTCAGAAGAGGGGTAGGATTCCCCTGGAACTGGAGTTATAGATGATTGTTAGCCACGATGTGGGTACTGGGAATTGAACCTGGATCCTCTGCAAGAGCAGCCAGTGTTCTTAACTGCTGAGCCTTCTCTCTAGCCCCTTTACTGAGACAAGGCCACTAAGAGAACAACTTTGCCTTTATTTTCCTTCTTTTTTTTTCATTTTTTCATTTCTTTCATGCCCTACCCATGCTGTCTGCATCCTCGAGTTCTTTTTTAGGCTTTTCTATACTGCTCTATGGCATATTCCTTGGCCAGATACAGGAAAAAAGTTCATATTTTGATAATTTCTTTTTGTCTAGCATTTTTATGCTCTGGTTCCTTTTCTTTTGTCTCTTTAAATGGCCTTGTACATACTGGACTTGTTTTGGCTGGTTTCTTTTCTTTTTGGTCTCTTTATATGTGCTGGTCCAATATATATATTGTTTTGCAGCCAGTTTCCATGATAACAGCAGAGACCACTGTCTTAAGGAGGAACTCCTTAAGGGAGTATATTTTTTCCCAGTTTATACAACTTAGCCAGCAGCACAGTTAAAATGAACCCTCATTTATCAACTGTTATTTCCTTTTTGAGAGATATGAAAAAGGTTTTTTTTTTTTTTTTTTTTTTTTTTTTTAAATCTTTTTGAGACAGGGTCTCCCTGTAGCCCTAGCTGGCCTAGAACTTGCTATGTAGGTCAGGCTGATTCAAACTCACAGAGATCTGCCTGCCTCTGCCTCCTAAATGCTGGGATTAAAGGTGTGCACCACCACACCTGGTAAGATTCTAAGTAATTATACTTCATCCTGGATTTTTTTTTCCTTATTCTTGACTGTGTACTCTGACATATTTGAAGAGAAGTGTCCATGATCTCTTTTGCCTTAATTTCTACAGACAGGCTGATGAGTGTATATAAATGTATGTTATGTCTATAGACACACACACACACACACACACACACACAAACACACACACGGGGGAGAGAGAGAGGAGAGAGAGAGAGAGAGAGAGAGAGAGAGAGAGAGAGAGGAGATGCATTTCATATGTAACCTGTACTGTACTTTTTTTCCCCCCAGGCTCATATTCTTCTTGACTGTGGGGAAGACAATGTCTGTAAACCTAAACTAGAAGTTTCTGTAGATAGGTAAGTTTTGCTTCAAACAGTAAATATAAAATATAAGAAATTTAAATAGAAGAGCACATTTTCCTGTTCAATGTACTGATATCTTAATGAGAATTGCTTATAGTAAAGGATAATTCATGATTTTCTATCATAATAAAGCTATTAATCTGGGAGTTAAAACATATCCACTGCGTTTTTACTAGGCTCCTTGTGTGACAGATTTATTCAGCTTTGGTTCCATCACAAAGTCATGCTATATCATTTTAAAGATACATACTGCATTGTAGACAATCTCCTAGTGAAGGGATAGCCTTATCATCTATTATGACATATAGATTAGGAAGACTATTGTATTATATCAAAAGGGTAGTTCATCTTTTAGGAAGAAAATCAGGAAATTCGAGCGTACAGACATATAAATAAAATGTCTTCAGTAACATGTGAACAGTGATGATGTGTTAGTGGCATCAGCGTTCTGTACTGAGAGAAGCACTCCATTTGCATCACGGTGCTATTTTCTGTTTTCTGTTGAGCTGTGGAGAAGTCTTAAAGTATGTCAGTGCTCCCTGTGTGTTTACCTCCTGCTTCTTTGCACAGTCACAAGCTCTCCATGTTGTCTTATTTCACTATCTGACTTTGTATTAACTTTCAGTGATCAAAAGAAAATCTATATTGGGGATGACAACCCTCTGACACTGATTGTGAAGGCACAGAATCAAGGAGAAGGGGCCTATGAAGCCGAGCTCATCGTCTCCATCCCACCACAGGCTGATTTCATTGGGGTTGTCCGAAACAATGAAGTAAGCAAGCTGCCTCTTGGAAAATCCAAAAGTCACTCCCAGTTCTTATTAAAGTTATTGAGACAACTCCCCTCAGTGAAGTCCAAGCTTAACCATTCTATGTAAGGTGAAGCTGTCAGACAGTAGAGTACCTATCTTATATAATGCCTTTTAGGCCTAATATTTTGCATACTGTATTGATAGGGCATTTTTAGAATTGACAGTAAAGTGCTTGAAAATACAAGATCAGATAGATAAATATCTGAGCCTGCCCATCACATTTAAGCCCACCAGGGATTTTTCCAAACACTTTCACCTTTATATGCAGCAGTTGTCCACAGTTCTGCCCTCTCTGTATATTTTCTCAAATAGATTTATTTGTATCATAAAAAAAGAAATATTGACATGATCTTAGGTAGTAACTTTAGAATTTTGTTTCCTTGGTGTTTTGAGAAAGGGTTTCTCTGTAGCCACATTTGGCCTGGAACTTGCTACATAGACCAGAGTAGCCTCTGCCTCCCAAGTGCCGGCTTAAAGGCCTATGTCACCATGCCTGGCTGTTCCTGATAATTTTGTTACCATTTATTTTATTTTTATATTTTTTTGTTTATTAATCAATTTATTTATTATAGGCCTTAGCAAGACTTTCCTGTGCATTCAAGACAGAAAACCAAACCCGGCAGGTGGTATGTGACCTGGGAAATCCAATGAAGGCTGGAACTCAAGTAAGACATTTTAACTGAATGGATTTTTCTCCCTATAAAAAGAACATGCTTTTTATTTTATTTTATTTTTTTTTCCCTGCCCTGGGTTTGTTTATAGCAATTTCAAAATAGTTGTGGGTTTCTTTTGTTGTTGTTGTTGTTGTTTGTTTTTTGTTTGTGATGCTAAGAACTGAGCCCAGGGCCTTGCATATGCTTGGAAAATGCTCTACCACAAGCCACATATTTAGACCCTGCTCTGTTTTTGAGAGATCTTGCTATGAAAGCTCAGCATGGCCTAAAACTCAAGCTCTTCCTGTCTTTGCCTTCTAAGTGCTGAGATTACCTGTGCATACCACCATGCCAACTCAAGTAGTATCTTTATTTTTTTAATTAAAATATCATTTATTTATTAATTGTGAGTGTGTGTGTGTGTGTGTGTGTATTTATGTGCACATATGGCACCGCATGCTGTGTGGAGGTCAGAAGATAACTTTTGAGAGTTGGTTCTCTCCTTCCACCACATGGGACTGGGGTATTGAATTTAGGTCATTAGATTTAGTAACAAGTGCCTTTACCTACTGAGCCATCTCACCACCCTTAAAGTATTGTCTTTAAATTAGTTTTGATTTAGAGTTTAATTATTAGCAGCGTTCTGTTCAGTTTAACTTGGATACTGAAATTATGGGTGGAACTTTTATATTCTGCTCAATAAACTTTTCTTCACACTGCCTTAAACTTGGCAAATGGATGAAAACATGATTTACACAAAGGACTAAAATTGTAATTTTATAATTATAAAGTGGAGTCTTAAAAGCCACTGTGGCAGACACCAAGGACTATTACTCTTAAATGAGAAGGTATTATCTTATTTACTTGAAGTGTTACATTATAGGAGGTGGACAGGGAACTTTGAGCATAAGAAGAAGCTCCCAGGAGTCACTTCTCAAGTCCTCTGAAAAGGAAACAAAGTACTATATATTCCTAGTAACAAGGAAAATGTGGCATGTGGGCTGGAGAGATGGCTTAGGGGTTAAGAGCACTGATTGTTCCTTCACAAGACCTGGGTTCAATTCCTAGCACCCACATGGCAGCTAACAACTGTCTGTAACTCCAGTTCCAGGGGATCCAACATCCTCGTCTGACCTCTGGGCATTGCAGGACATGGGCGCACTTACACATATACATGCAATGCATGTAAAATAAAAATAATATTTTTTAAAATGTGGCAGTACATGTGTTGTGTTCGCAGTAAAATCCATTGAATGACATTCTGATGTCAGTCACTGAAGATCTGTTACTATGGGATAAACACTGCATGCTTCTTTAAGTGTATTTTTCACAGAAAGTTATCTCTAGATAGATGCTCTCCAGAGAAAGCTTTACATATTCTCATTCTCTCCAGTTTTCTACCTCATAGTTCCTTCAGTTTAGATAACTCTTGGTTATTCTAAGTAGCCAGCTCCAGGCTTTGTAATGTAGGAGGCACTCTCACAGAGGTGCCATTTTAATGCTATTTATATGATCCCTGAGAAGCTTGCTGTCATAGCTTTGGCTCAGTTCTTTTCTTTAAAATTTATCAGTGTTCCCACCTGTAGCACTTAGGATGGTAGGTGCTATGGAAGGGAATTGTGAGAGATGAGTGGGGAAAAGCCTGCTTTTGGTCCTACTCGTTCTTTAACCCGGTGCCTTACTCTGTAAACTTTCAGTGTTTCCTTCCTGCTTGCTACCACAGCTCAGTTATTAGCTTCCTATTCCCAAGTCATTGTACTTAATTGATGTACTTTCATTATATCAACAAACACTTCTGTATTTTTTAGAAAGATGGTTAATATCATAGGAGGTATAATTTATAATTAATAATTGTTAAATGCCTTCCATTATAAATTGACTTAATTATCTTAAATAAAAGAGATTCAGTAGAAATCAGATTTAATTATTTTTGTTCATTTTTATCATAAGCTTTTAGTGTATTATAGAACATACTTTACAATTTTGTTTTTGAAACTTTTTTGAAAAATGAAATTTTATTAATGTATATTTATTGTACGAGGCAATGTTTTTTTTTAACCTTTAAAAAAATTTATTGAGAATTTCATACATACATATAAGGTATTTTGATCAAATCCATGCCCACTCCCTCCCTTCCAACTCCTCCCATATCTCCCCATCACTTTTTCCTGAACGACTTTGTGTACTCTTCTTTTTTATTTTTTTACTTTTATGGGTCTTTTTGCTACTCTTAACATTCCCCTCTTTTGAGAGGACACGTTACAATTTTTAAAAATTTATTTGTCTTTATGTTATGTGTATGAATGTTTTGCTTGCATGTTTTTATGTATACCACATGTGTACAAAGCCTGGAGAGGCCAGAAGAGGGAGTTGAATCCCCTGGAGTTACAGACAGTTGTTGCTGCCTCCCATTGGGTGCTGTGAACCAAACCTAGGTTCTCTGTAAGAGGAGCCAGTGCTCTTATGCTGAACCATATCTCCAGCCCCATTGTTGTCTTATTTGTTTTTTTATTTTTTGAAACAGGGTCTGCCTATAACCCCAGCTTGCCTGGAAGTTGCTATGTAGTCCAGGCTGGCCTTAGTCATACAGAGATCTGCCTGCCTATCTACCTGGGATTAAAGGCATGCACCACCATGCCCAGATTTTTTATTTTTTTGAGACAGAGCCTCCAGTGTGTAGCACTGGCTGGCCTGACACTTGCTATATAGACAAGACTAGCTTCAAACTCACAGAGATGTGTCTGCCTGCCTCTGCCTCCTGAGTCTTCTCTCTTTTTCAGCTGTTTGCTGGACTTCGTTTCAGTGTGCACCAGCAATCAGAAATGGATACTTCTGTGAAATTTGACTTGCAAATTCAAAGGTATGAAAATAGTCTATTAGGATACAGCATCCATTTTTCTTATAAATATATTGTGTACTATCTTTAATATTAAATATTATGAAATAGTATAGATTAAAATTTCAGGACTTTATTATAGAATTCTTAAATTAATATTTATATTATAGGAATAATTTTATTATCAGTTTTGAGTTCATAAAATTAAGCATTGAGAAGTAAAACTTGATTTTTATTTTGGAATTGAATGCTAATTGAAATAATTGCTGATTGGTAAGGCTTCAATTTCTGTGTTGCTTTGTGTTTGTTCATTTTTAGTTTTGTGAGTTTGTCCTTTTATGATTTTGATGATGAGTGTGCTTAATTCAATCCTGAGTTTGTTTTTCCTTTTTTAGCTCTAATCTTTTTGACAAAGTGAGCCCAGTTGTATCTTACAAAGTTGACCTTGCTGTTTTGGCTGCTGTCGAGATCAGGGGGTGAGTAGGATTCCCAGATTGACTATTCCATTGTCATGACTGTGTCTGAGATACAGCTGTTAGTCCCCAGCCTCCTTGGGGCAGCTATACTCCAGCTTGGAGGGATTTCCTATGGCAGTAGATTCTGATGAGATAAGGTCCCGTGTGTGCTCAGAAGTCCCACTATGTTTTTTTGTGTTCTTTTGAAAAGGACTGAAGCATAGTGATAGTGATCTCAAAGTAAGTTGATTGGGGGCTGGAAAGATGGCTCAGCAGTTAAGAGCACTGGCTATTCTTGCAAAAGACCCATTCGTAACTCCAGTTCCAGGGGATCTGGTGCCTCTTCTGTCCTTCTTGGGCATTGCGTTGTCAGGTGCACTTACATACGTGCAGACAATACACACATACACATAAAATAAAAAACAAGTATTTTTTTTAAAAAGCAAGTTGATGAAACTTTTACACAAATTGCTTATAATTCATCAGTTGTGTGCAGACTTAATAATAGATTTTATGCATATGTGCATTTACTAGCTTTTCCTTTTTTAAGCCTTTCCTTTTAAGACTTGAAAAATTATATCTGCTTTTATTCATTTCAATATAGGATACTTAGGAAAATGAGCTGACTATATACCATTTTAATATTTATGGTAGATTTTCTTTGGTCCTTGTTTAGAGTCTCAAGTCCTGATCATATCTTTCTTCCAATTCCAAATTGGGAGTACAAGGAAAACCCCGAGACTGAAGAAGATGTTGGGCCTGTTGTTCAGCACATCTATGAGGTTTGTAGCTATTGAACTTAATGGAAAGCTAGTGAGGAAACCAACAAAGAGAACACCTAAGCTACTTAAAAAAATAATCCCTTGTTATTTTTGTAAACTTTGCATACCTTGAGCATGTACCAGAAATGTACATTGAAATTTGAGACAGGGTGTTCCTGTAGTCCCAGCTGGCCCAGAACTCATTATGTAGACCAGGCTGGCCTTGAACTCACAGAGATCTGCCTGCCTCTGCCTCCTAAGTGCTGGGATTACAGATGTGCACCATTATGCCTGCCTGTAAGTTCATTTTTAATACACATACAGATTTATCTATTTAAGAAAGCAAAACCTATTCTATTTGGTAAAAGAAATAAATCATTCTTTGTGCTCTAAGGCATTTTGAAATTTTGACTATAAACTGAAAATGCCTGTAGTTAATCAGAATTTTATTGTCTATAGGAAGGCTATTAGTATCAGCCTTCATCAATAATTTTTGAACTGTTTTTTTTTACATTTTCGTCCTGGTAGATCTTTCTGTACTTTAGAGATAAATGTTGTTTGATGTTTTTGCATAATGATGTGATAAATTAGAGTCTGACTAACTGTGAAAATGGCTAATATATAGATCCTGTTGTTAATATGATTTCTAACGATGACATAGGGGAAGGATTATAGGACAGATCGTGCCCAAGGAGCTTACTTTTTTTTTCCCCCATTAGCTGAGAAACAATGGTCCAAGTTCATTCAGCAAGGCAATGTTAAATCTTCAGTGGCCTTACAAATACAACAACAACACTTTGTTGTACATCCTTCATTACGAGATTGATGGGCCAATGAACTGTACCTCAGATATGGAGATCAACCCTTTGAGAATTAAGGTAGTATGCTTCAAAACAGCTCTTTATTATGATGACTTTTATTTATTCATTTGTTTGTTTGTTTATTTATTTATTTTTGATCTTTTTGAGACAGGGTCTCTTTATAGCCCCAGCTGACCTGGAACTCACTGTGTAGACAAGGCTGGACTCCATCTCATAGGTCCACCTGCCTCTGCCTCCTAAGTGCTGAGATTAAAGGCATGTGCCACCACGCCTAGCTTATTATGATAACTTTTCAAAATTGTTTACTTTCTAAACCTAAACTTGAAATGCATGAAATAAAATAATTTTGTTTGTGTTTTTGAGACAGGGTCTCCCTGTAGCCCCAGCTGTCCTGGAACTTGTTATATAGACCAGGCTGGCCTTCAACTCACAGAGATCCATGTGCCTCTGCCTCTTGAGTGCTGGTATTACAGGTGTGCACCACCATGCCCAGCTTAAAATAAATATTTTAATGTACAGACTGTGAAAGTATTTTAGTTCATAACCAGTAAACTAAAATTTTGCATATTTATACAGTATGTAAGAATTATTCTGTGAAATCCTAGTAGCAATACATTTATGGTGTATTCAGTAAGTCTCAGATGATATTTTTTTAATTATTTATTTTTATTTTATGTGTATGAGTGTATTGCCTGCATGTATGTAAGTACCCATGTCATGCAGTGCCTGCAGAAGTCAGAAGAAGGAGTCAGATCCCTTGGAACTGGAGTTCAGATGGTTGTTAGCCACCATGTAGGTGCTGGGAATTGAACCCAGGGCCTCTGTAAGAGCAGCCCCTGAGCCATCTCTCCAGCCCCATTAGATGATATTCTTAAGTGATTCAGCTTGACTGTGGCTCATTGCATCTTTGTTTGTCAAATGTATAAATTACTTTAAGGCTGCTTTGTAGTTGGAAACCTGACTTTAGAATAAGATATGCTGTTTTACTTGTGGCTTTTGATTTCTGGGGTCTCTCCAGGAAAATGTCATTTTATAGAATTTATGTATTTTTGGATATAATCATATGTATCCTAGCTTATACATTTGCATTAAAAGCTATTGTATCATATAGCCTAAGAAATATTCAGAAAACAGAACAAAACATAAGCCAAGCTTGATGGCACATACTTGAATCCCAGCCTCAGTTTGAGGTTAGCGTGGGCTACGTTATGTATGCAAGTCCCGTCTGGGCTCTATAGTAAGACCCTGTCTCCAAAAGCCAAGCCAAATAATACCAAAACAATGCCAAAACTCCTAACTGACACTCTTCACAGGTGTACTGCAGAATTTCAAGGTGTTTCTGTATTTAATTTCCCTCTAGTGGTACATGGGAAACAGCAATGGTTAGGGAAAACTATTTTACAATATAGGAAATATTTTACTCTTTATTTCTGTCTTTACTGTTCATTAAATAATAAGAGATGAATTTTCTGTCATACCAAATTTTCATAGATGATTTGTTAATCATACCCAAATATTAATGTCAAAATTTCAATATAAAATGTTTTTCCATTATTATTTAACCACTATTTTACAACGCACTCCAGGTCTCATCTTTGCAAACACCAGAAAAGAATGAGACCATTTCTGGTCAAGGTGACCGGAACCATCTTCTCACCAAGCGGGACCTTGCTGCCCTCAGTGAGGGAGACGTTCACACTTTGGTAAGTGCCATTTCAAGTACGTAAACTATAAGCATTTAAAAATACCCAATTACAGGACTGACGACAAAGTAACACTTCAAAAATAACAGCTGTGCTTAAAAGAACTGCATTTATTTTTCACCCTTCCATCCCCTTGTTCTTTTTTCTAGTTAAATTGGTCACAAATTCTCAAGTGATTCGTCTTTATAGATTGCTAATAAAAACGTTTTATATTCCAACTTATTTTCTGACTGTGCTCCTCTGACTGACCGTTTTTGCCAGGAGGCCAATGAAAATATGTGGTGGGAATAATTTGCACAGTTGATTAACTTTTATTAAGATTCATCGATATACTGTTTGAAAGAAACTATTATTTAGCTTTTTTTGAGAAGTAGCAGCTCTGAACCAACATGTAACAGAGAAAGTGGCCAAAGTGTTTCTGTTCCACAGACATCACTACTTTTTAAAAAGCCATTTTCTATTTCATTTTCGTGTGTGTGTGTGTGTGTGTGTGTGTGTGTGTGTGTTAGCATACACACGCCATGGTATTTGTGTGGCTATCAGAGGACAACATGTAGGCATCACTTCTCTCCTTCTACCACATGGATTCTAAGGGTTGAACTCAGGTCCTCAGGCTTGACAGTGAGCAACTTTACCCACAAAGCCATCTTGCCAGACCACAATCACTATTTTTTAAAAACTTTTCTTTTAAAGTATTTTATTTTTTAAAATTTTATGTGTGTGATGTACTGCCTGCATGTGTGTAAGTGCACCTATGTCATGCAATGCCCACGGAGGTCAGAAGAGGGCGTTGGATTCCCTTGGAACTGGAGAAAGGAAAGGTTGTTAGCTGCCATGTGGGTGCTGGGGTTCGAACCTGAGTTTTCTGCCAGGCACCCAGTGCTCTTAGCTGCTGAGCCATCTCTCCAGCCCCACACAATCATTTTTATATCACCATGTTCTGGGGTCCTTCACCAGCTTCTTCCAGTTCAAATTGTCTTTTGCTCACATCATCACTTGCAGGATAACAACCATTCTCCTGATTCTCTGCCAGCACTTGCTCCTTCTTAGTCTCCATTTTCAGGCCTTTTAACTTCAGCACTGAAGTTCAGGCTCTGTCATCTGCCTACTTATTCTTCTTAAATATCTAATAGAAAATAACAAGCTTAATTCTAGAAATATACTCTGAAGTTTTCCAAACTCTTCTTTTTCCAGCATGATCCATATTTAGTAAATATCAACTCCTTCCTCTGTGTAAACCTTTCCTCTTCTCTTTCTTGCAAAGCCTATTCCTATCTACTTTCTAAAGTACCGAGATTCTGACCCCTTTGCACCAGCTCCACCCCATCATGGCACGTCCCAGGCTGTCTCTTCTCTCTTGACTGTTTTCCAAATTTGGCTTCTTACTTTAGCACTGCACTTTATTTGCAGCCAACTGTGATTCTGTGTTTTTTGTCCTGTAGAATTATACACACATATATATACATATATATATATTAATTGAGGTAAAGCTTACACAATCTCAGTAGCAATTTTTGAATACAAATAATAATTTGATAAGTACTGTATCTTAGAGCACAGGTTATGCCTTTGAGTTTTCTTTAATTTCTTTTAACATTATTTTAGTTTTTAGTGTACTGGCTTTGCACTTCTTAGTTTATTTTTGTTATCTTTGATGCTATTTTAAATAGACTTTTGTTGTCTTCCTTTGGATTATTTGCTACTAGTGTATAAAATTTCAGTTCGTATTTCTATATTGAACTTGTATACTTCAAGATCTGTATGTGTTTTCTTTTCTGCACTTGTTTATTAGCTCTTTATTGGTTTTAGTTTGGTTAATTTTTTTTCATACATAAGGCCTTGCTAGCTATAGAGAGATGGCTTTTCTTTATCTGTTTATTATGTTGTTGCTGAACTATAGATAGAACCAGTAGAGTTGACTAGAAGTAGTATGGTTGGGCATCCTTGCCCAGTTTGTGACCTTAGAGAGAAGTTTCCAGTCCTCCTCCATTGGGTGTGGTGTTAGCTGTGCATGTTTCATAGATGTCCCTTATCAAGTGGAGGAAGCGTCGTTCTCCTCCTGTTCACCTATTGGCACCACTTCCTGGACAGTGTTCCTGTGAGGTGCATTCATGTGACATAGTGCAATAGTACCAGCACTCAGAATGTGATGAAATTTGTCTTCCTTGGCTGCTAACCTTCAAATTACAGATGAAAACACTAATTATGGAAGATGTCATCAGCATGTCATTTGCTTTCTACAGCTCTCACAGAATACCCATTGAGGATGCACTTCTTTCTTTGCTTTTCTACAGGAATATTATAATCTGATATTCATGTCTTCTAATTATGGTGTTCAGGGTTTGTCTAAAGAATGTTGAGCTGTGGTCATAAAAATGAACTTTTCAATAATATAATTTTATGTTTGTAAAATAAATAACCCTTCCACAGCATAGCACAGACTTAACAAACTTGTTTGTTTTAAGCACTGTCCCTATGAGACAGAAGAATGTGTACAACCTCTCTTTGGCCTTCACAGAAAAATGCCTTTGTTCAGATGTTGAAAAGATGAATGGTCCTTTTATGTGAGTCAATAATTTGTTCTGGCAGGGTTGTGGAATTGCTCAGTGCTTGCAGATCTCCTGCCAGGTTGGGCGGCTGGACAGAGGGAAGAGTGCAATCCTGTATGTGAAGTCTCTGCTATGGACGGAGACCTTTATGAATGTAAGTAGACAGATGCAAGAGCAAATGTATCTATTTTTTCAAAGGACTCATAAAGGCTTTCCACCTAAGAAATGATCCCATTGTTACTTCTACGCAGAAGGAAAACCAGAATCATTCCTATTCTCTGAAGTCATCTGCTTCATTTAATGTCATAGAGTTTCCTTACAAGAATCTCCCAATTGAGGATATCTTCAACTCCACACTAGTAAGTCATTGGTTTGGGGAGATGAATCATTGCACTCACACACCTTTGGTTTTTGGTTTTGTTTTCTATTTTAAGCCCTTTTGCCTGCATGTGTGTAAGTGCACCCATGTGAGCAATGCCCAAGATGGCCAGAAGAGGATGCCAGATTCCCTGGAACTGGAGTTTCAGACAGTTGTTAGCCACCATGTGGGTGCAGGGAACTGAACCCAAGTCCTCTGAGAGAGCAGGCAAGTGCTCTTGACTGCTGAGCCATCTCTCCAGTCCCCAGGTTTTTTTTTTTGTTGTTGTTGTTTGTTTTTTGTTTTTTAATGGAAATGTAACTGTAATAATTTAAAGTAGTGAAATTTTTTATAACATACTTTTTTTTGATAACATACTTTTTAAAATTAAAAACATTTTCTCTTTTTATTACCTTTGTTTATTTATTGGAAGGTACTGTGCCACAATGTGCATGTGAAGGTTAAAGGACAATTTATTGGGATTGGTTCTCTTCTTTCCTCATGTGGGTCCTGGGGGTTGAACTCAGGTCTTCAGGCTTGGTAGCAAGTGTCTTTACCTGCCGAGCCACCTCACTGACCCAAAATTGTACTCTTGTTTTATTGTATTCCCTTACTCCCATATCCTAGAATGATTAAAGCTGAGTCTCTTACTTTAGAATTTTGTACTATGTAAGAAGGTTTTTTGGTGTTTACTAAACTATGTTGGGGATATTTTGGGGTAATTCTCCTGACAAAGTTATAAAGCTGGATATTAACTGCAACAATTGAAGGCATTTAAAAGATATTTAATGCTGAAAATGGGACCAGCCATCATAATCTATATTGGATTATTTAAAAGTCATTTCATATGTAGTCAAAAATTAACCTATTGTTGGAAGTTTTATGCATGTACGTATGACCATGCTATTGATGCTTAACATACAATCACCAAATTATTGTATGCAATAAAGAACATGATACGAATACTACTGAAGTAAAAATACAAAGTGATTCAAATATGTACTAAGTCCCTGAATTATTTTAAAACTAAGGCTTTTCCTTAATAGGTCACCACTAACATCACCTGGGGCATTCAGGCAGCACCCATGCCGGTGCCTGTGTGGGTGATCATCTTGGCAGTTCTTGCAGGACTGTTGTTACTGGCTGTTCTGGTCTTTGTAATGTATAGGGTAAGTAATGGACTTTGAAAGAGGGAGAAAGGGAGGGAAACAAAAAAAAAAAAAGAGAAGAGAAAAAGGGAGGAAAAAAAAAAAAAAAAAAGAGAAGAGGGGAGAGTGGAAAAGAAAGATGAGAGCAATAAGGGAAAGAGGAATGGGACTCACAGTGATGCTGTCTGATGAGCATTATTGTACTAGGAAAGAGAAACTACAAAGTGCTACTTGTCTTGGTGATAGTAGAGTCACTCAATACTATTTTTAGGAGACTGGAGAGATGACTCAGCGGTTAAGAGTGTTTGCTGCTCTTGCAGAGGACCTGAGTTAGATTCCTAGCACCCATGACAAGTGACTCACAGCCACCTATACCTCTAGTTCTAGGGGGGTCCAGTATCTCTAGCCTCCTTGGGCACCTGCATACATATAAGACATACACATTTACACATAATTAAATGCAATGAAAATAAATTTAAAAAAAACGTTTTGGATTTATTTTATGTGTGAGTGTTTTGCCCCATGTATGTAAGTGCACCACATGCATGCAGTGCCTATGGACACCAGAAGAGGGCATTGGAACCCCTGGAACTGGAGTTACAGATGGTTGCTAGCTGCCATGTGGGTGCTGGAAGCTGAGCCTGGGTCCTCTACAATAGCAGCTGGTATTCTTATCCACTGAGCCATCTATCCAGACCCTGGAAATGTGGTGGTGCATGCCTTTAATCCCAGCACTTGGGAGGCAGAGGCAGGCGGATCTCTGTGAGTTCAAGGCCAGCCTGGTCTACATAGTTCCAGGACAGCTGGGGCTACAAGGAGACCCTGTCTCAAAAAGACCCCCCCAAAAAAATATATATAGCATTCTATTATTTAGTAAAAATAAGTTTTGTTGTTGTTTTTTTTTCTTTAACTGACAGATGGGCTTTTTTAAACGTGTCCGGCCACCTCAAGAAGAACAAGAAAGAGAACAACTTCAACCTCATGAAAATGGTGAAGGAAACTCAGAAACCTAACTGCAATTTTGGTTTTAAATCTGTGCTGCATCTTGATCCATTAAATTTACCGTCTTGACAATAGATTTAAATGTCCTTCATGAAGAATAAAATTCCAAGACTGTATTGCTGATGGTACCCATTAGCCTCGGTTTACCTACAAAGTTGAGAGCAATATTTTTCAATCTTTCCTTACAAATAAGATCAGATTGAGTTTAATGCACATATGCTAACTTGTGTTTTTAGGTATTTAAGTAATGAAATTTCAAGTGATCTTTCTTATTCAATGTACATAAGAGAGATAGTGCCTGAGTTACCACTTCAGATAACATAGTACCTCCTTCAGTTACTGTTTATGATTTACTGTGTTGGGTTTTTCTTTTCACTGATGTTGTTATGTTAAGGCAATTAGGATTTTAAAGCAATTCAAATTCAGACCTTAGCATCAGTAGTTTTTGTACAGGTACTTAGAACTTTAGTATACATTACACTACAGTTGACTTTGTAAGCTACTAAAGACTGTAATTATGTGAAGTTTGATTTTATTATCATTTACATGGTAGAACTTTTTAAAAACATGATAACATCAAAATTCTTTCCTGGGAGCTATAATTCAGTCATAGAGCATGTGCTTAGTATGTGCAAGGCCCTGGGTTCAATCCTCAGCACTGAGGAAAACAATAGTTTATTATAATAACAACGGTACAGTATTTTTATGGGCATATGCTATTAAATTTTTATTTCTATTTAATCCACAATCTATTGTATTATATTTTAGCTTGTATAATTTGAATCCTATATCAAATCCTTTCATCCATCTCATGCTAAAAATTCTAGAATCAGAAATGCCCATTTGTGTAATAGTTTGATTTAAGTTAAATAATGACGATGCTTAAAGCCATAAGAGTTTGGAAATTAGTTCCAAAGTACATTTATTCCTTTAGTTTCTCTTTGACTATTGGCAACACATAAAAGATTGAAAGACTATCTTTGTAGTTCTTTGATATAGTATGCTCTTAAACTAGAGCAGAGCCTTTAGTTGGTATTAATTTATTTTCCTCCTGTATACATATTTTCCCTTATATTTACAAAACTGAGAATGGGTCAAGATCATCTTTATAGGCTACAGGAACCTGTATCCCCACACTCCCACCCCTTGGGAAAGACCTGGAGTCAATATTCCTAAGGAGCGGGTTGGTTTGCATCAGCATGATGCTACTCACCCAGACAGTACCTCAGGTTAAGTGAGGAGCATGTAAAACCAGCCGCAGTTGTGAGAATAACTTCTAAAATGTATCTTTATAAGCAGCTCGTGTTATTGAAAACCTTTTAAAGCTTTTTAAGGTTTGTTAACGTAAATTACTTTTCTAGGGCTTTAATAATGGCAGCATAGGCAGCAAGTTGTGGTTTTAAGTGCCTGTGATTTATTCACAGTTCCTCAAGGCCTAGGGATGACTATTAATTATGTCTGTTTTTTGTGCAATTACATCATCTTGTGCACTAGAAATTGAGAATTTTAATAGCTTTTTAACTGCTGTTCTCATTAGGCAATGATAAATATTTCTCTTAAATAATTGACTTTTTCTACATTTTAAAAGTAATTGAAATATGTCTCATCTTTTTTGTGCTATAATTCTATACACAAGTGGCTGAGCTAATCTGAACTTATTTTCATAACATGAAGCACATATAGGTGAGTTATACAAGTTACACTATAGATGCAACTGATATTTTATAACCAATAAATTTAAATTCTTTTAAGAAATATTTTTATCTTAGGGTTAGGGTTAAGTGTTACCCACCACCAAGCAGTTACTAAATTGGTCTATAAAAACTTTTACCTCATCTATTTTCTTACATAGTAGCTGTCATTCCTGAAAAAAAAATGTTGAATAGAAATTCACTCTTTGGCAACAGAGTTAAGATTGGTTTTTACATAGCTATTCCTTTTATGACCTATGTGCCAAGGAATAATTTTCTATTAGTGATTGAAAGATGTTGTACTTTGAAATTAGTATGATATTTTAAATTGCCTTTATGATGTATAGTTTTAGACAATAGAATGGGTTTTCTTTTTAAAATAAAATTTATATCTATAAAATATAGACTGTAATTTCAAAGTGTACAATCTAAGGAACATGTTGAGTTTCTTTTTTTAATCCTACAGTAGCATATGAATATATTTGGCAAAATATCAAAAGATAAGTGTTTTAAGTACTACTATATTTGTGATTTATTGAGAATTAGAATTTATTTCAAAGTATAAAATTCTCATAATCTAAGTTTAAAAAATTGAGTGAGACAAGGAAATAGTAAATGCATTTGACACAGGTGAGAAAAATTGAC